AACCTAATAGCAGCCTCCAACCTAATAGCAATGGCCTCCAACCTAATTGCGATGGCCTCCAACCTAATAGCAGCCTCCAACCTAATAGCAATGGCCTCCAACCTAATTGCGATGGCCTCCAACCTAATAGCGGCCTCCAACCTAATAGCAATGGCCTCCAACCTAGTAGCGATGGCCTCCAACCTAATAGCGGCCTCCAACCTAATAGCAATGGCCTCCAACCTAAAAGTAATGGCCTCCAACCTAATAGCAACGGTCTCCAAGCTAGTAGCGATGGCCTCCAACCTAATAGCGGCCTCCAACCTAATAGCGATGGCCTCCAAACTAACAGCGATGGCATCCAACCAAACAGCAATTGGCAATGGCCTCCAACCTAATAGCAGCCTCCAACCTAAAAGTAACGGCCTCCAACCTAATAGCGATGGCCTCCAGCCTAATAGCGATGGATAGCGATGGACTCCAACTCCAACCTAGTAGCGATGGCCTCCAATCCAATAGCAATGGCCTGCAAGCCTCCAACCTACTAGCAATGGCCTCCAACCGAATAATAGCCAACCTAATAGCGATGGCCTCCAACCTAATAGTGACGGCCTCCAACCTGATAGCAATGGCCTCCAACCAATTAGCGATGGCCTCCAACCTAATAGCGATCGCCTCCAACCCAATAGGAATGGCCTGCAACTTCATAGCGATGGCCTCCAACCTACTAGCGATGGCCTCCAACCTAGAAGCGATGGCCTGAAACTACTAGATGGCCTCCAACCTAATAGTGCTGGCCTCCAGCCCAAAAGCAGTGGCCTCCAACCTAAAAGCGAAGGCCTCCAACCAAATAGCGATGGCCTCCAACCCAATAGCGATGGCCTCCAACCTGATAGCAATGGCCTCCAAGCTAGTATCGATGGCCTCCAACCTAATAGTGATGGCCTCCAACCTAGAAGCGTTGGCCTCCCACCTTATAGTGATGGCCTCCAACCTAAAATAGCGATGGCCTGCAACCTTATAGTATATGCTCTGTCACGGATGGATTTCTTGCCTTGCAAAGGGAGGTTCGATCGTCGTCATTTCTCCACCTGGACAAGTTTCTCATATTTTATCTTGTTCACGATACTTTGATGTGTCTTTCTCTCTTTGGCGTGCCATCTCATATCATCTCCTCAAAGCCCAGAAGAGCGGAGAAATGGATTGGCTACCAACTTGGACAGCCAGTTGCCAAACAGCGCGCTCCACCTGAGCGACATGAAATCGAGCAAGGGAAATTTGAAATGCTTGGTTCGGTGGAGAAGGGATGAAATATGCTGACATGGTTTCGTTGATGTCTTATTCTTAGGTTGGAGGCCATTGCTAGGGAGGAGGCTACTAGGGTGGAGGCCATTGCCATCAGGTTCCTTCTCTATTAGTCTTCCTTTCCGAGCGGCTCGGGGAGCGTCCAAGAGCGCTCGCCTCAAACGCTTCGAGTCGTCGAAGTGGATCGCTTGCCTCGGCACGAAAGGAAGGAACAAGGATGGATGAAGCATAGGAGACTTCGATGATCTTTTGGTTGGTTTTTTCACCATGTGAACAGTTTTATATAAGAGGCGGATGTTTATTTAATGGATACGACCCCACAATACTACGCATGCTTAGAGATATCTTGGGAGACCTTAAGGATTAAACCCACGAACAGTTCCAGAAGGACCAATCAGCTTTCTCGGGTGTGGGTCGAACATTTGGAAGTCGGTGCAGCAGGAGCGTGAAAGACCAAGGAAGTGGGAGTGACTATTCAACAAACAAATTTGCCAGCATTTCAGCTGGTAGGGCCCCCGGGAAGCATCTGTATTTCATTTGGCCGGATGGCAACACGAAATCCGGGTGGCCACGACATCTGTTACATGTCTTTGGGTCGAAGTCTCACGGAGAGACTTGGACGAAAAAAGAAGACCAAACTCAAACTTTAGGCTGGGGGCAGAGCTTGGAATCATACGTGATGATGTTAGCGGCTCATAGGCTCTTAGACCGCTTCAATGCCTTCAATGCCGATGGAAACGATCAAGTTAGTTCTGGGATGTCCTGGGTCCGTCCTGCAGTCTCCAAATCTTGGAGTCAGTTGGAGTGGTCTTCGAGTCTCCCATGTCACCCTCATCCACTTGCTGATCCATGTTGATCCCACACTTCGAGCTGTCATAGAAAATTCCCTGCACAAGAACGGCATCTATCTGAGACATTCTGAGACTATGCATCGAAAAAAGAAACAGTGCTAGATAGTGCTAGGCTAATAGTGCTAGGTCTACCTACCGGTCTACCGGTCCCAGCTTGGGCTATGGCCTATCCCATCTCCCCTTTCACTGCCCCAGTGGCATCACAGCAGTGGAGCCATCCATGATGGTTCGCACCAGGACCCGTGCCGTCAAACCTCGTTTCGTCCACCCATCGCGGTGAGCGGTCAGGCGAACCGGACACGACACGCGGTAAGGTCTACAGCGCCCAGTCGGAAGGTTTTCGGATGAGTCGATGAGTCGACTTTGTGTTAGTGTCTAATGTTTCTACTAGCGACTAGATGCTACTAGTAACAGGTGCATAGCAAATAGCTACTAGTAGCTTCTTGTTATTAGGTTTAATGTCCTTGTTACTAGTAGCGATGCACTTGTCACTAGTAGCCAGGGTTCTGTTTAAAGGAGGCAAGGCTGCTGTGCGCAAAACTGCAACAAATGTCTGTTGCACGACTCAACATAGCAAGGGCCACGTTTGAAAGGAATTGCTGATGCCAAATGATGTGCAGCCGGTTCACCAGCTAACTGCTTGAGGCCAGCGACTACTAGCATGCAAAAACTGCGAGGCTGAAGGCACACCATTTTTAGGTGTCGGGAAAGGACCGTTTGGTCGATCAATCCCGGGCTGGGTCGTTATGATTCTCAAGCTCGCCACTTCTCACAGCAAGCGACCAATGGACCATCGGAAGCCCTCAATCATCATGTGTTCCGGCATCTCTTTCTCCTTGGATGTCGAAAACATCATTCAACCCTGCACGGGGTTCGAAGTCCACTCGTCCAAGGTCTTGTGAAGGCGGGCAATGCCCAATGACCCAGTCGTTTGCTGAACTTCGTCTGCTGAACTATCCAGTCTGAGCGCCCAGCGAAAACATGTTACGTGCATGCTGCCAGTTTCAATGCCAGAGTTGATCATTGGATATTGTCAAACCATGTCAATTGAGCCTTCAAAGAACGCCAACACCTCATGCATTCTGAAGACAGCTCCCTCCGATCAACAAGTGGACTCACAAATATCATACAAAAATATCTTTCCCACCCAGCATTCGTAAAACAAATAAACACCAAAAACACACCACAAATGATGATGAGATGTTTTGGGGAGTTCAAAGCTGCAGCCATGTGTCCTGAATCTGGTGTGCCTTGTCCTTGGGGCACCACATCATTTTGGTGCTTTCCTCGGGCGAAGTAGGCGGATCCGCACTACCCGGCCTCTTTGTTTCATGGCTGCCCAAGTTGTTGTTAAACACCATCCAGCCGCCTAATTAGTCAGGTTTCCTCTGAGAGGCTACTGACTAGATGCATTTCTTTGAGCAAAGATGCTTCATAGTATGCTTCATAGAGAATGGTAGAACGCCCATATGTTGGGCTGGTGTTCTCCCGAGCGCAATTAGGGCACAGGGTGGTCTCCCGTGGAGTCGTCTGACATATTGCGACCGAAGGACGTACGTACATTGTTGAATGCATCACGTTCCGCACATGTTTCAAGACCTTTCTTTCTTTTTGGGCATGGCGCTTCTTTTATATACATGTCCTTCCTTCTTTTGCAGATTCCACATCTTTTCTTTAGACGTTTTTCTCTCTTTCTTATTTTTCCCAAAAGCATCTCCGATGCTTGGGTTCTCGCTTAGTCGCTAGTGCCGCGGAAGAGCGGGACAAAGCGTGCGTTGTCGGGGACGGAAGATGGATGTGGAGGTGGACGGGGCTGGGAAGGGAAGAGGGAGGGGAAGGGCTGGGGGGGGAAGATGGAAGGGAGCGAGACGGGAGGCGCATGGGTGGGCAGCTTCAAGTGCCTGCTGGAAAGATGGTGATGATGGAGTCGGGCTTGAGCGGTGATAGACGGCAATCTTTGGGGGTCCAGAGGGCTCCTGAAGATAAAAGGCGAGAAGGAGGCAGGAACGAGGAGAAGAGAGAGAGAGAGGGAGAGCCTCTTTGACCTGGGGGGCTCTTTAGGATAGACGGCGAAGAGAGAAAAGGAGTTTGGCGCCGAGAAGATAGACGGAGATACAAGATCACCCGTTGCCCGAGATGGGCGTTGTCTGGGCCAGCCACGCGAAGAGGCAAGACAAACAAGATAGAAGGCAGATAGAGGCGAAGAGACAGAAGATAAAAAGGAGAGGAGGGCGCAGACTCATGGAGACCAACCCCGAGCAGGTCCTCGCAACGCGGAAGTCGAAGAGACAGAGAGCCAGTGACGAGGAGAGGCGCGGGGGATCCGGAATAAAACAGAAGACATGTGTCGAGAGTGTTGGTACTTTCTCCCAATTACATAGCACATAGAGAGCGGGGAGTGTAGGCCTCGCTACTAGCTAAAGTGGGGGAAAGAGTAGCAAGGCCATGCATCAAACCCTCCTTGTGTTGACAAGGGGGGAGCTTGGGCACTAGTGGCCTTGTCCAACTGTGAGCCGTCATCGGTTCGCAGTCGTCTCACGTCGCAGGAACTTCAACTTGCGCAACCCCGTCGAAAAGAACAGGCTGCAACGATATTTCTATCTAGGGTCTATGCCGGTGTAAAGACAAAAGATCGAAGCCCGCAAAGGTGTAGTTCAAGAAAAGCAAACGACAAATCCTCTCCTCCTGGGATATCTGCGCCATATCGACGCCCCGATCATGCCAAGGATGCACACCATCGGAAATCTAGGCCAAAAAATTAAGCAGAAATATCGTGGCTGCCACGCTGGAGGGGGCTAGTGCTTCGTTTTGGCCTGCTAATGTGTGTTTGTTCTTTTTTCCTGGGTTGCGCGCTTCTTTTTGCTTTTGGGTCCGCGGGCTCACCTTGTGTTGAGACATTGTTTTTCCTGTCTTGTAGCGTAGGCCTTCTTTCCTTTTCTCTTTAAACTTTAGACCTTTCGTCTTTTTTTTGTTAGACCGTTAGACCTTTGATGACCTTTCTTCCTTTGTCTTATTGTTTTAAACGTCTTTTCCGTCCTGCGACCGAAGAAGCATTTTCGTTGGGGAACTCTTGGACCATTGGATGCATCACGTTCACGCACACGTCCACGAAGGGCCCGAACAACTCGATGGGGATGCCATAGCCTCCCACACGACAGAGCGAAGCGAGCGAAGCCGAACATGTTGACGTGGCTATTTATTGGCGAGGTTGTACTCCAGTAGGGGGGTTCAATCGGGAGGGTGTGGGATTTGCCCAAAGTTGCCACAGTTAATATATATCCCAAAACTGCTGACAAAGGAAGCGACCAACTCGTCGAATAACAGAAAACCATCTACAGGCATCTGCTTGCTTTTGGAGTACATGTCTTCATGGGTTACGCGCATGTGTTCTCCCCAGCTTCTTTAACCCAACAGGGCTTCCAAATCGGATTTGGTTTACATGGCTTGTCCCAAAATTGGCGAAAGAATTGAGAATCAGTGTGAAGCCTGGGAAATGTTGGACTCCAACTTTGCAAAGTGGTCCACCTCAGTCTGAGTATTTCGGGCCCTTTCCTGCGCAAGGAATAGCACCACCAGACTTCATGACCGTAATCGGGTTCATTCGTGGACTTCCAAGCGGCTCCGGACCGCCGACCGCACGTCCCGATCGGGTCCGGCACAACTCGCGTCGGACAGCGCCGCCGCTGTCCGACGAGCGAGCGCGGCCTACGTGGCGCAAACCCAACGCCGAAAGGTCATCGAGCGTCTCCTTGGGTCCAACTCTGCAGTCGAGCGTTGCACCGGTGCAGGAAGAGACTGGTAGAAGACTCAATCAGCGTCCGGGAAAAACAACATGTGGTGGTCGGAGAACACGCATTGTGGTCTGTTCCATTCTTTTCTTCTATATAGGCACCTTTGAATACCTTCTATTTGATCTATAGGTGGCCTAGAAGCGAACCAAACACATCAGCAACGACGTAAGCAGTAACCGTCACGGAACTCCTGAAACCCCACACCCATCTCCACTCTCCCTCACCCCAACACCAGCCATCCACAGTCCAACTGAGTTCAACTGCCCCACTAAGTCGCATCTTTGTTCTTGTGGAACATGTCGTAGGAGCTCTGCAGCACGCGATCGGCGATGTAGCGCAGCCGACTCTGCGACCTCGCGTTGCCGGTGGAAAGCGCTCGCTGAAGGTGGTTTGAACTCATCGAAGCATCTGGAGAATGGAAAAAACATAGAACACATAAATGCGGTTTGTGGGGAGACTATGGGGAAACTACCAGCCCTCCTCTGCACCGTTGGTCAAGTTACTTTGATGGTCTACCCTGTATTGGCTGTTGCTACAACATGAAGAACTGATGCGAGATTCAATGGAGCATGTCGGGCATGTCGTCTCAAGAAAAGGCTTTGGAACGATGAAATCAACACGGAGTTGAATCAACGTACTGACTCAAGTCAATGATGATCTATGTGCCAGATCACGGGGTCCATGGTGGATCCGGTGATCTCGAGGAAATCTACTCAGTCAACTCCCAAGAGACCCTGCTCTGAACTCTGAACTCCAAGATTTCGAAACCCCGGCAACCAATTGATCTGCATCAATGCATCAAGATCTGACAGCTCCCTTCACCGAAACATGTGATCCATCAAACCAGAATCCTCTAGCAGACTGTGGCCCCTCCCTGGTTCAACGTTTATCCATCATCAACACTTCCATCACACTAAGCGGCTGTTTGAAGAGATCTTGTGAGGCTTGGCTCCTGGCGAAGAACTCCGTGAAGATGTCCGCCCGAAACCGGTCCAATTGCCTGAGAGGCAGGCATGTTGTCGGCATGTGTGGCGAGGCCGGCCCGGTCCGTGAGGGACGAAGAAAGCAAACAAATCAAACGCATCTGTGGACTGGGCAGCAAGCAGGATGTTTCCTTGGTTTCTTCCAAAATAACATGTTGGCCGCAAGCATCTTGACCAGTCTTTCTATTGCTCCTCCATCTCCCCAGAGCCGTGAATGGTAAAGGGATCAACTCCAACAATCCGTTTAGCCTGGGTGTGGCAATCCAAAGGTTCAACAAATATTCAGAAAAAAATCAAGAGGTGGGGACCTTGACATGAGGTGTCACTTTCTGAGATCCAGGATCTGGGGAGGTGCTCTGATTCAGAATCATCATCCACCTGAAGCAAAGAGGCCATTCTCGCTGAGAAAGGCCACGCCTTCAAACCCGCTCAGGCGGAACAAATTCAATCCCCACAAAGTCCTGCTGCAGCTCTGAGGGCTATCGTTAACCATATTGAGTCACTACTGAGTTCCATGTGTTGAAACAACGGTTCATGAATGTTTCAACAAACACATTGAATTGTCAATGATGGCGTGCCCATGTAGTTGTCCTTTTCATGTCCATCCTGACAAGGGGTGACGATACCTCGCTTCTGCCCAATCGACTTGTTTGTTTGTGCTCTGCAACTCCCAACGCCTGGATTTCTCCCGTAACTGGCCGCGCCCTCTCCCAGGTGTTCCAACAAACAATGAAGAGGTGCTCCTCCCGCAATTGGGAAAACATCTTGGCATTGTAGGGCTTAAAGGCACGGACCTGGCGCAGCCAGGTGGTTGGACCATCGGATGGCGGGATTCGGATGGCCCCCAGGTGGAGATGAGAGGCGCAGGTGGGACTGGAGAAACGAACAACCTGGTTACCTGGTTCCGATGCTGTTGCTCAAGCTTGGAATCTGATTGCCTGAACTGTATGTGTTCGGCATACAGGTGACGGACTCCCTTTATCTTCTTTTCAACCACCTGACCTAACAGCACATCCCACAGTCTTCGGGTAGGCTTCTCTGAAATGGGCCTGTTGGATCTCACTCATCTGTATCTGGGATCCCTCCATGGGGAATGTCCATTTCCAGTCGTTCTTGAGGAAACGGTACGAGCACACGGCAGAAATGCCACTCACAGTGATTCAGCCACTCAAAAACGCTCTAAATCAGCAATGCTCAAGACCCGTCCAGATCTGCAAGCAATCAAAAAACATCTTGCCTTCATGGTGGACTCATTCAAGTTGCGGGCCACCGTCATCCAGAGCCACTCCCAGGCATTTTCGTGCAAAGTGCTCCACTGCTTGGGAAGCCTCACTGCAAGCGAACATCACCTAGCACTCAGACAAATCACTCCAGACCCGCTCGGGTGCCGATCGCTCCAACGCTCCCTTCGGCGGTACCATCGCTGTGCCCAAGGGACAAGGATCGCAAGGCCGCCAACATCACCGGCTTGAACTTCTCAAAGTCGATCGACTGATTTCGGAGCAAACCAAGCCAGAACAGAGCTGCCGAAGTCCTACTTCTTGGCGGTCTATAAAGCATCTCTTTGAAACGAAAAAGCATGTTGATGGGGACAAAGACCTATTTGATCCTATTTGACTACCTACTATGTGTTATTTGTGCTACTTAATTTTCTGTTTTGGTTTGTCTAATTTTTCAAGGGAACCGCAATTCGGGGAGGCAAAGCAAGCAAAATGACCAAACAACTATATAATGAACAACAAAAAACTTGTGTTATTGTTTTCTATTTTTGGAAAAGTCTTCAACTGGCAATTCGGGGAGGCACCGCAATGGGGGCCAGCCAACGACAAAGCAAGAAAGTTCGTCAACAACTGACCGGTGTCCAAGGCGCGGTCGACTTGGTGATCAAGTTGATCGCCAGTAAGTCACACTCCTCAAAACATCTCGGGTAGGTTGGGGGCCATTGCTAGTTGGTGGAGGCCATCGCTCTCAGGTTGGAGGCCATTAGGTTCAAACTGCCCAAGGCCGGTCGAACACGTATCTTGGTGCCCCCTGAATTGGATCATCGTGGATCTCAACAGTGAAATGACTTCCATCTACAGCACTTTCCGGCACACTCATATTGCGAACCATAAAGTCACAAAGGACTTGAAAGAATAATCTCTTCTAGCGTGTGCAGCATTTCCAAGGGAAATGACGAAAGACTCTTGACGCTCTTCTCCTCTTGCAAGTGGACAGGGCTGGAGATCATCTCCACCAAAATCTGAGCAAATCGACAGAAGAACACGGGGCATGCGGTTAAGTTAGGAACTCTTACTCCACTGGCTTGTCACTTCCTGATCATGTCCAACTGAAATGCCCTGGCAAGGGCTCGAATAGAACACTTATCGTGCAACCATTCAGCCTTCAAGTGGTCTTAAAATGATCAGGTTAGTCCTGGGGCCCTGGCTTGCATGTGGCCCCACAAGTATACCAACAACGTGACACAAGTAGGACTCATCACCTGGAATCTAGAAACCTCTGCTGTTGGAGTTATCGGAGCCCTTTTCTTGGCAAACAACGGGTAGCAAATCCTTGCTGTCACCCACCCAGTCTTCGTGAGAGCCAATCCAAAAATACATTTCTATATAGCATATATAGCATCTATCCAGCCATATACATGTATATACTCAATTATAAGCAATTATATAATATTATATACATAGTAAGAATATCTATATGAGTGGAAAGCCTGTTAAATGTATAGTGTACTGGATGTTTTGGAAATTGTTTATGTTAGAATGTAGGACTCCATTCCAACTCCATGGCTTCTTTCCGAGTGAGAATGGAGGCCACGCATGCGTCACCATATGACTTGTTCCAACCCTCCATTTTATGGTACCCTGCGCTCAAGAAAGGCGCCCACCCACTTGCAGCCATGGAACATCAAACACTTGTAGAAGCTCCAGCATCCAGCCTGGTGGAAACCATTGATTCTGAACAAACACTTTACCTCGCGATGGCATTATGGCAGAACCACTCACTGCGTTTGTCTTCCTCATAGCTTTGGCACAACATGCTCACAACAAATGTCCGCAAACTTAGGCAAGAAGAATGTGGCATGGCCTCGAGTTAGTCTGGTGAGGCAAAACTGTGTTCGCCCAAACCTTGATTAAGGTAAAGCCAGTGGGATAACATGAAAACCTCTTCATCCCATCATCGTTTCAATTTCACAGCGCCACGCATCCACATCCAAAGGCTGAACAAAACATGCCTAAAACTCGCACCGTTTTCTGCCCAAGACCACCCCAAGTACGGTCACACCGTTCCGAGGCGGAACACGGGAGACGAGGCGACCGGTCGGCGGCGGCCTTCCGTTTTCTGGCCCATGACTTCGTTACTGAAGGCGCACATGCGGCCGAAGCTGAAGGTCTCAGCCGAATCATCCTTTGTCTCTTCGTCGCCACCTTCGCCGTCCCCCTCGCCCTGGTTCTCGCCCTGGTTGGAGGCCTGGCGTCCCGATTCCGGCTGGAGGGGTGGCCATGAGGCATGAGACGCTTGGTCAGGCGATCTGGCTCCCGAAATGGAACATCCAAGGATCTCCGAGATTCCGAGGACCGAGGTCTGGACATGTCGCATGCTATCTGGACCCTGCCTTCTCACTTTCGTGCTTGGAAGCCTGTTGGACTACGGCCCAATCTTCCTGCAAGCTGAGAACTTGGGAAAATTGCTGAGCAACTGGTGCTTCGGTGACCCTGATCACGTGGGATTTTGGGAACCTCGGGCTATCACTGAAAAAGCTTATGCTCTGACTGCAAGTCTTGTTATGCAAAGCGTGATGATCCCTTTGAAGTACCAGAGTATACAATAATTATGCCATGGACCTTGCTGAGCTCTAGACTGTCATGATGACCCAGCCTTGATGACTCGCAAACGCTCGCCGTAGCTGTCTCCAACAAACCTGGCAAGGAAGCAGGTGCTATTCCTCCCACAGCTAAGGACTATGAATGCTTCTATTATGGACCGCCCAATGACAGCAAGTGCAAAAACATGACATTGTATTTGTCAATATCTTATCCTCTAGCTGGATGCTTTGGGCATGGCTGCCAGCACAATCCTCATGAAAACTAACACCACTTTGCAGTGGGTAAAAAGCTCCCGAAGATGATGAGATGATCAATTCTCGTTCTAGGCTTTTTTGTCGAACGAGATGTTGGACTCTATTGGAATAAGTCTGCCCAGACATGGGCAATCAAGGGCATGACCTGTGGGGCCCAGGGGGTGGAAGCATGATGTAGCATGAGAAATTAACATAGACATCTATACTACTATCTGAACAAGCCTTGAAAGGGGAACTGCTTTGTGAACGAAACCTCGCAACACCTCAAACATGGTGGCTCTTTGATTTCAAACCTCACTCTTCTGATTCTGATCTCTTCTGGTTCTCTCGCGCTGGAGTGACATTCTCCGACTCTACTGGCGATGGCCTCCAACCTAATAGCGATGGCCTGCAGCCATACCAAAAAGCATCGTTCTTTTGTCCTTCTGCTCCCCCGCCCAGTCCGCCCGAGAAAAAGAAGTTCGTGGACCGCGCCCCAAAAAAGGGCTTCTCTTTGCGTGCAGAAGCTTGGAACGCCCATTGGGTGCCTGTAGCATGAGCCGCAGTAGCCCAAAATGTTTCTCCAGGCTGCGGCCGTCCCAGGGGGCAAGTTCGGCCTCGGTTGCGGAGACCAGGGGTGCGGGTCCTGAGGTTGGAAGGAGTCTTCCGTCCGTGTTCCGAAGATCATGCTATCGCATAAAAAAAGCGTGTGATCTCTATGGCACTATGGATGGACACGCCATGTCTATGCCTCGAGGGTCAGATGAATGCCGGAAATTCCCGCCAAATCGTTCTCAATGATGGACAGTGCCTTTCCATTCTATGGGAGGTGCTGCCTTTCCATTCTATGGGAGGTGCTGCCGCACAACCCACAGAATGGAAAAAAAACAGGGAGCGACAGCCTGTGGGACTAGGACCAGGATCACCAAGGGGTGATTGGATTGTACAACTCGATCAACAACACCTTTGTAGCCCTTCCTGTGTCTCTCTTTGTTGCTTCTTCGCCCTTGGCCCTTGTTCTTCGCCCTTGTTTCTAGCTTTTTTTCCCTTGATATGTCTCCTCCACTCTTCCTTTGGCTCCTCCAAAAATTCGTCGCAGGAAGCGGACCACTCTGGCCCATCGGATCGCCGGGAGACGATCGATCCCGAAACCAAGTGGAAACCAACATAGGGAGGCTCGGAATCCGGTGGGCCTTCCAGCAATCAAGTAGGCAAACAACGAAGACACACAAAACATCATCATGCGAAGCAAGTTCAGAATCAGAAATCTGGACCCAATGACACGAGCGGAAAGGGGGGTCAAGGCATCTTGCACCATTCGAAGGTAGCCAGGTCGCACGTTGATGGTCATGAGCTCCATATAGGCGGAGATCACCGCGTCCACGCGCTGCTCGGTGATCTCGCTGTTCAAATGTCTGGGCGGCTTCAAGGACTGGAGAAAATGTCAGATTAAACTAAACTAATAGCTTCTTGTTACTACTAGTAAGGCACCTGTTACTACTAGC